AAGCTGCTGGAATGGCCCAGCCAATCACCTGACCTGAATCCAACAGAAAATCTATGGAAAGAACTAAAGATCAGAGTTCATAGAAGAGGTCCACAGAACCTTCAAGATTTGAAGACTGTTTGTGTGGAAGAATGGGCCAAAATCACACCTGAGCAATGCATGTCACTAGTTTCTCCATACAGGAGGCGTCTTGAAACTGTCATTGACAACAAAGGCTTTTGTACAAAGTATTAGATAAATTTCAGTAAGTATGTTCAACTTACTACTAGAAATAGTCGGCCTCACCTCGACGCATGGCTTGGTTCTGGAACCAGTCTCCTTGAGAGGGGCTGGACGTACTTCCACTCTGGAGTTTCCTGCAGTGAGAGGCGCCGGGTAGGAGTGGGCATACTTGTTGCCCCCCATCTTGGCGCCTGTATGTTGGGGTTTACCCCGGCAAACGAGAGAGTAGCCTCCCTCCGCCTAAGGGTGGGGGACGGGTTCTGACTGTTGTCTGTGCTTTTGGGCCGAACAACAGTTCAGATTACCCACCCTTCTTGGAGTCCTTAGAGGGGGTACTGGAGGGTGCCCCTCCTGGGGACTCCCTTGTTCTGCTGGGTGACTTCAAAGCTCATGTGGGCAATGACAGTGAGACCTGGAGGGGCGTGGTTGGGAGGAACGTCTCCCCCGATCTGAACTCGAGTGGTGTTCTGTTGTTGGACTTCTGTGCTCGTCATGGATTGTCCATCACGAACACCATGTTCAGGCATAAGGGTGTCCATATGTGCACTTGGCACCAGGACACCCTAAGCCGCAGTTCGATGATCGATTTTGTCGTCGTTTCATTGGATCTGCGGCCGTATGTCTTGGACACCCGGGTGAAGAGGGGCGGAGCTGTCAACTGACCACTACCTGGTGCTGAGTTGGCTCCGGTGGTGGGGGAGGAAGCCGGTCAGACCTGGCAGGCCCAAACGTGTAGTGAGGGTCTGCTGGGAACGTCTGGCGGAGTCCCCTGTGAGACGGAACTTCAACTCCCATCTCCGGCAGAACTTCGAACACGTTCTGGGGGAGGTGGGGGACAATGAGTCTGAATGGACCATGTTCTGTACCTCCATTGGCGAGGCGGCTTATCGGAGCTGCGGCCGCAAGGTTGTTGGTGCCTGTCGCGGCGGCAACCCTCGAACCCGTTAGTGGACACCTTCGGTGAGGGATGCTGTCAAGCTGAAGAAGGAGTCCTATCGGGCCTTTTTGGCCTACAGGACTCCAGAAGCAGCTGATGGGTACCGGCGGGCGAAGCGGCATGTGGCTCGGGTGGTCGCTGAGGCAAAAACCCGGGCGTGGGAGGAGTTTGGAGAGGCCATGGAGAAAGACTTCCACACGGCTTCGAGGCGATTCTGGTCCACCATCCGGCGTCTCAGGAGGGGGAAGCAGCACAGCACCAACACTGTTACAGTGGAGATGGTGTGCTGCTGACCTCAGCTCGTGACGTTGTGGGCCAGTGGGCGGAATACTTTGAAGACCTCCTCAATCCCACCAACATGCCTTCTGTTGAGGAAGCTGAGCCTGGGGACTTTGGGTTGGGCTCTCCAATCTCTGGAGACGAAGTCGTTGATGTGGTCGAAAAGCTCCTTGGTGGCAGGGCCCTGGGGGTGGATGAGATCCGCCCGGAGTTCCTTAAGGCTCTGGAT